TCCTCGTACTTCGGGCACTTGATCTTGCCGCCGTCCTTGAAGTGCGCCGACTTCGGCGTGACAAACTTCCCCTCGGGGCACTCCTGCCACGCGTCGCCGCCGACGTACTTCACCTTCACTTTGCCCGCCTCGCACTGCACCCCCGCACACACCGCGTGCACTTTGGTGTAGACCTCATCACTCGTCTTGCTCTTGGCCTCCAGTGTCTCCGCATCGAGGCACCACGAGCCACCCCCATGGAGGGATCCGGGCGGTGCGTTGGTTACTTCCACGTTACAGAATAGTTGTGATATGTGCTCATTAGGCGGGAAAAAGACAGGGCAGGTTTCCTTTTCGTCGGCGCCGCGTCCAGCAGCGTTCGTACTACATTGCCCGATGGCTTGGCGGTTGGACGTGCAGCGAAGTGTTTTGACTTCGGTCTTTTTATCGCAGAACATGCCGGGGTGCTCGGTGGGGCTTTTGTCTGAGCACGGCTTCTCGAGGAAGTCACAGCCCGCGCCTCTGCCCCACGCCATCGGCTCCTCCATCCCCCACACGGCCCTGTAGTAGCCGAGGTCCTCAAACATTGCCATCGTCAGCGCGTGTAGTAGCCGGCGGTGTACCCGCCAAGGCCGCTCATCAGCTCGTCCTTCGCGTTGCGCAACGACAAGTAGCATTCCTCCGTCCCGTCGCAGCCCTGCAGCTCCATGCCCTGCAGCTTGTCGCAGCCGTAGTGTGCCTTCGTTTTGTTCAGCGTCACGGGAGACTTCGCCACCGTCACAGGAGAGCTGCCGCCGCGCACAGCAGAGACGGTCGTCAGCATGCTGTGCTTCTTCATCTGCTTCGCGTCGAAGCCAAGGGCATGGGCGATTGCATGCGCAGCCGTGCGAGAGGTGTGCATGACGGACAACGGTTGAGAAGGCGGCAGGTGCAGGGCACCGGCAATCGGACGACCATCCGCCCCAAACGCACACGGCAGACCCCACGCCCCGTAAATAGACCTGGCAGCCACGTAGAGCACCATGTCCGCATTCTCAACTCCCGCATCGTGGTGCCCTTCGGGGACCTTGAAGTACTGGCAAAACCCATGCTCCTGTGTGAACTTGGGCACCTTCAGCGGGGTCTTCAGGCGTCGAACGAGCAGACGCTCCGCGTGCAGCTTGAGAGCCACGGGGATGACCTCGTTCACCAGGGTTTTGTTCCAATCCGCGGTCAGAACTTCCTCCTTCCTGCACTTCAACTCTTGCCCCTTGAAGTTGGGTTTCTTTTCGTCTTCTTTGGTGCAGTATTTACTTGCGTCGCTCAGATCCTCCATCGACACCACGATGCGGATGGGCTCCCACTCCTTGCCCTCGCCCTCTGCGGCGACGGTGTACGCCTGCGCCGCGCCCTCCCCCTTGCGCGGCACCTCACGCACCATCGCGGTCGGCGGCGGGCCGCTCT